TTCTCCAAACAACCCCTTGACACTGTGTTGTGTACACAATGATGGACAGAGGCTAGTTTGTTTGTTAGTGAACTTGTTTATTGTGTTGATAATAAGACACGTCAGGTCAGGCAGGCTGGATCAGACATCATATTACAAAAGAACAATGCACTAAATAGCTTCTGTATTACTATGATGCACTATGTCATTTTTTGGGATTCTTGGAGTGCGTATTCCACGTTAGAATCAGATTTATACAATATATTTAGGACCCATTCCAATACTAACACATAACTCAAAAATCTGTTGTATCGGACAATATTTCAAAAATAAAATGAAATAAAATACAAGACAGATTTACTGAGACAACAAAACAATGAACTGGTTTTATTACCCAGAGGTTGTGGATTGTTTATGCTCTGACTCCATTCATAATCAGACGATTGCATTTGTGGTTCTTCAAACATGTTGGCAACATGGAAGTTGCAGAGTGCCCTCTGGTGGACAAACTTTAGCAGTAATAACATATTTGAGAGGCATTTTTTGTGACTCTTTGTTGCGTTTTAATTCTTACTTATCAGGCAATAGATGAAAAATGCATGGGATAACTGGCTGATATAGCAGTTCCATATACTGGGTACATATTTGTACACAAAACAGACAGAGTGGTATGTTCAATGCTGTGTCGCATTAACTGGCAGCATATTCATGCATTTATCTAGTACTTATGAGAAGAGGTATCACTTCCACATTTACATAGAGAAGACAAACTGTAAAGATACTTTCAGCTATTCCCTACTAACAATTGGCAGATAACTCTGTCTGACTCAACCCCAAAAGCATTTTGTACAGCTGGAACTGAACCAGTGACCTTTCATTCACCAAGTAAATGTGTAAAACAGCACATCAAACTAAATGTGACAATCAGTTCTCAGTTTTAAAGCTTGTTACAGAGATAACAGAGTTTGGCATAGTAACAGTGTTTATATTGACTTACATACAACCAACATACTGTTAATTTTGCATTTGACTGATTGCAGTTCAGGTCAAATCTGCATCACCTGGTTCAAAAAGCCTCTGATTATTTGTTTACACAAATAAATACCCTGAGAAAAACATCCACTAATACATAAAAAAACAAACAATGAGCAAAAAAAAGAATCTAAAAAATAAATCAAAGATATGTCACCAGCTCTTGAAATGTTTAAACTTCAGTAACAGTCTGAAGAGTCTTTCATTAAAGAAACAGTTGGGAGTTTGATAGATAACAGTGAGGAAACATTGGATGTTGAAGGTACATGGAACTTTCTTTGGTTTCATAATACAAACATAATAGTAACCTGTCAGACTTTATTCAGCTCACCAATCAACTTCAAACACCATCAGACAGATTATTTATCATCTATCCATCCATCCATACAGACGTGGACAAAATTGTTGGTTTCCTTTGGTCAATGAAAGAAAAACAGTGGTCACAGAAATAACTTTAATCTGACAAAAGTAATAATAAATAATAATTCTATAAATCTTAACCAATGAAAGTCAGACATTGCCTTTCAACCACGCTTCAACTGAATTATTTAAAAAATAAACATTTAACCCTAACCCTTTCTTTGTCCAGGCCAGAAACAAGCCAACACAAAAATGATGGTACCCCTAGAAAAGAAATGAATGAAAATAATGTGATCAAAGGGACATGTTAATCCCAGGTGTGTCCACTAATCAGCATCACAGGTATCTACAATGTTGTAATCAGTCAGTGGGCCTATATATAGGACTCCAGGTAGTCACTGTGTTGTTTGGTGACATGGTGTGTACCA